AGCAGCATATCATGGGCGACCATGTGCTCCCAGTAATAACCATGTTGGGATAATGAAGTTCGGGGGGTTGGCGGGGATAATCAACGATTTCCCGGCGAAGGTGATTCATGATGATGCTGATAAGCACGATGATGATGATGATGATGATGATCCTGGGGGCTCGTGTAGACTGACCTTGTGGATCTTGGCACAACACTGACTCGAGAGATCTCGAGTCTCGAGATTGACCCTGTAGATCCTGGGAAGCTCGGGCCTGGGCAATTGCGGGGGGGAGGAAGAGGAGGAGGAGGAGGAGGAGCCACGAACCGTGTGAGGGAAAGGCTAAAAAGATAATTCCAATGCTTTGCTTGCTCGAACAACGCATGCAACTTCAAAACCCAATCGGCCCCCATGGCCCTGCCGCGCGTTCCTGACTCGGGAACGGCTGAGAAAGTGAGAACCCCATGACCCTGCCGCACGTTCGTGACTTGGGATGTCTGCAACAGTGAGAATCCCATAGCCCTGCCGCACGCTCGTGATTGCGGAAGCTGGAATGGTAAGACCACCACTGCGATGCTCAGCGTAATATTATGATGTTGCTCGTCTACATAATATGATAGCCACTTCGATTCGCAACTTCCCCCGGTGATTATCAAGTTCGGCCTCCGCGCCGCTCTCCACAATCATATCCGATATACACAGGATAATACAGATTCAAGGGGTTAGGGGAGGAGGTACGATTTATTATCGGGGGCACGGGGTTATACACGATCTGGTGGGCATCGCTGCGAGACGTCACGAAGGGCGGAGCCTACCGCTGGAATCCCAGGAGAGGCCCGTGCGCGGGGTCCGTCAGCGCCCAGCCCGGCAGTCCAGGGCGACTTACCATCTGCGAGCGATCATCACCACGGTAGCAGAACTATGGCACGCGGGAGTTGCTCTTGTTTCCCAGGAAGACCAGCAGAGGATGGCTGACCTGCTGAGCTGCATGCGATCACGAAGAGGGCACGGCGGGTTCAGACGGATGCGGAGGCCGTTCGCATCCTCGACGTGTGGCGGCTGCAGTTGGAGGCGTGGGCCGCCTTCTGCCAGGCCATCGCCGCGGCCATCCTGACTGGGCCTGGGCCCCGGCCGCCTGCCCATTCCTTGGCCGGGCGTGCGACGTGGAGGCCGCTGACCCGCAGTCGTTGTTTGTTGGGCGCCGACGCCGAGAAGACGGCGCGCGCCGATGCTGCCGCCGCGCTCGCCGGCGCGCGGCAGAGGCATGCGGATGCCTCTGCAGGGAACGCGGGCGCGCAGCCCAGACTCACTCGCCCCGCGCTGGCAGTCGCCAGCCAGCGGGATCTGCTACGAGTTGTGCTCTCCTTAGGCTTTGCGCCGCGGAGCTGGGCGCGCGGTCCACGGCCTGGCAGGCGAACGTGGCGGAGCTGCAGGAGATCGCGCGCGGGTAGCCTGAGGGGGCGGATCGGGACCCGCCGCTGCCGACCATCACCGTTCACGATCTGCTGGGCGCCGCGAGAAAACTCACGGCGAAAACGGAGCCGGGCGCCCCTCGCAGGAGGGCGCCGACGTGCCCTCGGGCGAGCCGCGGGCTGCAAGCTGCGACCATGCGCGCCGCCCGGCGCCAGATCGCAGCGCCGATGGCGGCGCGGGCCCGCGCGGCGAGCGCCTGCGGGGGCGCGCCCAGGCGCCTGGCTGCCACGGCCGCCACGGGCGCGACCTCGGGCGGCCCCACGTCGCCCAGACGACGGGCTGGTAGGCGATCCCATCAGCAGCGAGCTCTGCCAGGTGAGGAGCGTACTTGGTGATCTTGCCACACACATAACTAGGTCGCGGTGGCGTCCTCGCCAGCCCCGGCCGCGCGCGGCGCCGCGAGTCCCACGTCGAGCGCCGTCAGCCTGGCACAAGCAGCGCTGGAGAGCACATCTGCCGGGCCGGGGAGCGGCGTAGCCTCGATGAGGCCCAGGGCCTCCGCCCGCGCGGCTCCGTCGGACAAAGGCGCCAATGCCAGGAGCTCGCCCCGCGCTCTGTTGTGGCCGCGGGCGGGCCCCTGGAGCGCAGCACACGGCGCGCGCCCCGTCGACGCCTCGCTCCGCGCCGCAGCGGGAGCACGTACCAAAAGCCACGTAGGCGGGGCGCCAACCCGCAAGCGCGCCGCAATCAGGAACACCCCCGGGAGAAGCGCCAGCGCCCCGGACAGCTCCCACAGCCAGCAGTGATCAGCGCCTGGTGCCCGCAAGTCGCGCAGGAGCTCCAGGCTGGCCACGTCGCGCCGCACCAGCAGCGCCCTCTCCACGGCCTCGAGTCGGCGGCGGGCCACGAGGTCACCCAGGCGCGCTCGGAGGTCTTGCTCGACCCCCGGGCGCTCGAAATCGTCCGCGCCCAGCGGGGGCAGGAGCGCGTCGGCGCCGGTCGCCTGCGGGGACCACGAGTGGGGAGGCAACGGCGCCCGCCCTGCGAACTGCGCAGCCCGCGTCAGCGCTGCTGTCGCGCCGGCCTGGCGGTGCTCCTGCAACCTCTGCGGCCGAGACCGGGAGTTCCGCCTGCCACGCCGCCAACGCGTCGCAACGCAACGCAACGCAACGTCCGAGCGAACAGTTGGGGGGAGCGGCTCGCCCCCAAAATGAGGCGGACATGCAGTTGACTACTGCGCACGCGCGCAAACACACCCCTCGCATACGTTCACACGTTACGTGTGGCCGTTGATCATAAACTACAGATACGCATCTTCGAGAGCATTACATGAAAAGTTTTGCCCTGGCGCAGTGTTTCCTGCAACGAGAAACCTTTCGTCGCCAAAAACTTGCGCACATAATCGGTCCACCTCGTCGTGGGTCTGCCCAGGCGTCTAAGGCCGTCATGTGTCCATCGCTTGACAACTGCCGGCCACGAGCCAGGAACGCACAGACGCGACATCAACCGCCATCGAGATCTATCTACTGCTTCGGTCCATTCAAAAACAGCGAGAATACATAGCCGTCTCCAGTTTGCTTTTGAAACGCCTGCCCGAATCCTCCCAACTCTCTTGTTTCGAGAACCCCACAATTATCCGAAGCATTTTTTCCGAGCGGCTGCCAACCGCAAGCGATGTCTGCTGGTCATGCCCACAGAAGCCATGCCGTACACAGCTGTAGGGGTGATCAATTTCAGCCGAAGGCACAACGGTATGCTACAACTCGTAAGCGTCTGCTCGTTCGCGTGGAAGCGACCCCAAACGTACTCCAAACTGTAGTCGAGATGAGTATCCGCACGGCCGGCCAGATTGCCGCTGAACTTCCGGCCGAGGTACTTGTGGAAGTCGCGGCACGTCATGACAGGCAACGACATGTCACCACACGGCACCACCATCGGAACTTCAGAATGGGATACATTTGGGTCGTTCGTGACAGTCCTCGTCTTGGTCGCGTTCAAACTGAGGCCTTGCTCCCCCATCTCTGTGGATAGCGTGGCGAGCATCCGCATTGAATCTTCAGATGACCCTGCGTACAACAAAGTTTCGTCCGCGTACCGCGGCCAACGCATCGGCCGAGGTGGAATCCCAGTGCGCCTCTCTCCTCCTTTGTCCTTCAACTCCTCCTTCTTCTACAGTAGGAGCTCGACCGCAAGAAATCTTCCACAAGAAACCCAACCCTGAGACCCCAGGACGTTCATGGATCTTTGGACGTCACGTTTTCCACTACAAAACCATCGAAAACCGAGAAACCCAAGGGCACCCTGGAAGCAAGCAGGGTGTTTCTTGGCATGGGTTTCCACTGAAATTCACATCACCCCATCTTCCTCCCAAACCCTCCCTCCCCGCTTCCTCCTCCACCTCACTCCTCCTCCTCCTCCTCCACCTCCTCACCCGACTCAGTATCCTCATCATCATCGACAGCATCAGTATAGTAGTCAACATCCTGACTCCTCATACCTTCCCTTCCTCGCTCCTCCTCCTCCTCTTTCTCCTCCTCGCTTCTCCTCATCCTCCAGCTTCTGCCTCTGCTCATCATCACCACCGACATCAACATCGACATCACCATCACCACGACCACCACCGACATAATCATCGTCATCACCGTCATCATCAACTCCATCATCATAACCCGCAGTGTCATGAGCGTCATGCTCATCACAACCACCACCACAATCATCAGCTGCATCAGCATCATCACCATCGCCATCGCCATCACGATCACCATCACCATCACCATCACCATCACCATCGTCATCATCATCATCATCATCATCATCATCATCATCATCATCATCATCGTCATCATCATCATCGGCATCATCATCAGCATCATCACCAACATTATCATAATCATCATCAGCATTCGCATCATCAGCAGTAAATCAGCATCAACATCAGCATCATCATCAGCATCATCAGCATCATCAGCATCATCAGCAACATCATCATGATCATCACCATGATCATCATCATCACCACCACCACCAGAAGCAGCAGCGTCACCGTCATCATCACCGTATTCCTCCTCCCCCTCGTCCTCCACCTCCTCCTCGGGTCCAGAACAGAGCCTGTAGAATGCCTCCAGTTCTGCAAACGTTCCCGGCTGGGGCCATTGCGCACACTTCCTGCAACCTGGAGCCTGAAATGTCGTCCTCCTCCTCTTCCTCCTCCCGTCATCCTCCGTGCCCCACCCCCTCCCCCTCCTCCTTCTACTCGTCCTCTTCATCCTGCGACAGTGCGAGACTGATAGATCCTGCACGACTGCCGGTCAATACAAGGTGAACGGGAAAGCCCAGCCCGCCTGAAGCTAGTGTTCCTCCTCGTTTCCTCCTCCCTCACCTCAACCCTCCCCCTCCTCCTTGTCCTCCACCTCCTCACCCTCGTTCTCCTCCACCTCCTCCTCACCTCCTTCTCACCTCCACCTCCTCCGCCTCCTCCTGCGGCCCCCTCCTCCTGCACATCCTCCATCTCCTCCTGTTCCTCCTCGTCCTCACTCTCCTCCGCCCTCTTCCTGCGGCATCCTCCTCCTCCTCCTCATCATCATCCTCCTCATCCTGATCCGATTATCCTCGTCTTCCTGCGACTTGATCTCCGCGGGGCCCAAAGAAGTCTTATCCGCCTTCGACAGGTCCTGCTGCCGCCGCCGCGACGGGGAGCGGCGCGACGGGCACTTGTCGGGGACATGCAAGACTCGGGTTCGGGGGACCTGGGTTGGCCTGACGGGGCCGACAGGAAAATGCCGTTACCCACTCTGAAATTTGGCGCGAATTCCCACTGCAAACATCCCAAGAAATATTGCACCGTCAAAATTCCGGATGGAGTCGTCTAAGCAAGTCGGGAAACCTGAACAACCCTGACAACAGCGGGTCTCACGCTTTACCTTTACCCTAACAACTAGGCGCGCGCTCCCACTAGTGCTGGTCCGAAACAAGGAACTCTCTACCGTCCCTACTTATTGCTCTCCTCTTCATGCGTCCTCGTTCTCCTCTTCCTCCTCCTCCTCTTCCTCCTCTTCCGCATCCTCATCCTCCTCCTCTTCCTTCTCCTCCTCCTCCCCCTTATCCTCCTCCTCCTCCTTCTCCTCCTCCTCCTTCGCATCCTCTTCCTCTTCCTCCCCCTCCTCCTCCCCCCCTCCTCCTCCTCCTCCTCCCGGCGGCGCGCGGTCCCAGCGCACTTTGAATTGGTGCCGGCGCAACCCCCCTGTGCTTCGCACCGGCCCCCCAGGAGCAGCCGCCGCCCCACGCCCAGCACGAGGACCCAGCGTCCAAACAGCGGCCGCCCCTGGCGGGGAGGGGTTGCGCCAGCCGGGGCCTATAGCCTTGGCATGCCCGGGGCCAGGACGTGCAGCCAGAGCGAGGTGTAGCCGGCCTCGAGCGCAGGTCGCCCGCGTCCGGCGCCGCTCGCAGCGCAGCAGTGCCCGGCAGCAGCGCCGTCAGCCGCCCGCTCCGGCCTCCACCCCGCGCCGCGCGCCGCCCTCTCCGGCGAGCGCGCGCCCCCGGTCTTCGGCCCCTGCGCGCAGCAGTCCGCGCGCAGCAGCGGCAGCAGTAGCAGCCGCCGTAAGCCCAGCGTCAGCAGCAGCCCGCCCCGCAGCTCCGCGCCGCCGCCCAGCGCCGGCGCCGCCCCTTGCCCGGGCCCAGCAGCCCCCCCCGCTCAGCGCAGCCCGGCGGCGCGCCGAAGCTGGCGCGCCACCTGGCGCTGCAGCGCGCAGCTGAGCGCCTTGTAGGCGCGCGCCAGCTCGCCGGGCTGCGCGTCCTCGGGGAGCTCGCGCACCTGCGCCAGCAGCCACTGTCGCGCCTCAGCGCCCAAGCGGCTGGAGGTCTCCAGGGCGAAAGCCGTGAGCCGCTCGCCCGGGTACCTCTCGCGTTTCTCGCGCTCGGCCCTGCGCGTAGCCTCTCCCGGCCGTCGCGCCGCAGCCCGGAGCGCCGTCTCGTCGCCTGCCGCCGGGTGGCGGACCGCCACGTCCACCCACCAGGGGCCGCCCACCTCCGCGTACTGGAGGTCCAACACGGCGCGTTCCAGGACCGGCGGGTCGGGCTCTTCTGCTGGCCGCCGCGCGCGGCGCCTATCCCAAGCAGGGACTCGTTGTTCGTAGAGGGGCGCGCAGTGGCGCCACCCCCCGGCCAAGCTCCCCAGCGTCTTCTCCAAGTCGCCGTGGCGCCTCACGACGCCCCCGCCAGACTGGCAAGTGCAGGCGTGGTAGCCGTCTTCGTCCAGCGGGGCCGCGCAGGTGGCGCCGCTCGCCGTCTGGTTGCAGCAGGTAGCAGAAGCCCGGGCCAGCTCCGCGAGCGAGCACTCCGGCCGCGGCAGCTGCAGGCGGCGGCGGCAAGGGAGGAGGAGATGTATCAGAGCCCTCCGCTGAACAGTGCTAGAGAGGGAGGTTGTCGTTGTGGAGCGACCTAAAGTCAAGGAAAACGATTTTTATATATTATATATATATAAAAAAGAGGAGAAAAAAAAAAAAAAAAAAAAAAAAAAAAAAAAAAAAAAAAAAAAAAAAAAAAAAAAAAAAAAAAAAAAAAAAAAAAAAAAAAAAGAGAGAGAGAGAGAGAGAGAGAGGACCCCTCATCCTCGCCCTCCTGGTGGGGCCCGCCCGCGGCCTGCCCGAGCTCTCTGACCTCTTGCAGGTCATCGTCGGCCAGCCCGAAAGCGCTGAGGACCTCCTCCTTCGAAGCGTACCCCAACCTCGCACGGGCAGTGGGCCCCCCTGCGGGCACGGCGGCAGCAGGGGCACAACGGACAGCCAGCAAATCCCGCTCAGCCTGAGAGAGGCCGCAAGCGGACGAAAGGGTCAGAAGCTTCGACGAGGCTCGACCGTGCGGGTGTTTCCTATCGCGAATTCGCTTCAGCTGATGCTTTACTTGCGGGGGCCTCGGCCTATGCAGGCAGCCGTCCAACAGAAGCACACCAGGGCGGAAATCCTCACAATAAGCACCGCATTTGACACAAAACACTAACGGCATTCCTGATTTTTGAAGCGAATCGATCTCGCATCTCATCAGGGCATGTCCGTTCAGGTAAAACGCGCTTGTGGCAAACTCTTCCAAATCGAGCCCGTCCGACCCCCCAAAGTCCACCCCCTCCCCGCCCACAGATTCTTCAATCGCAGGATCAGGCTGAGGCGGCAACTCGTGAGAGTCAGGCCACACTTTTCCGATGCTTCAAGGCCAATCGTGTCAGGGCGCTTATCCGACTGGCCTTGCAAGTGCACATCTAAACTTGCAGCCCACTCTGCAGACTCTTTCACAAGACACTTGAGACCTCTGCACAAGTCCACGTCCTGCTGGCTAAGTTGGTGCTTTGCCGCACCCATCTTCGCATAAGAGTCTACCGAATCATTGGCTCGCTTCTCCCACAGGGTCGCCTTGCCACTGTGGACATCACACATCGAGCAGTGAGCTGCCGTCTTAAACGCCGTGAAATCCCCTGGAGAGAAACTGGACCAGAAGGGAGCCCACAGGTGGGCCCTGGGCCCTCCAGCAGAGGCCCCCGCCCCTTGGCCACCCCAGAGGACGTCCAGAGTTCTCTGGCAGCCACAATATAAATCAATCGGTGCCATCGCACACTGATTCAGCATGCACGCAGCAAAGTATTCCCCATCCTTGGCCGTTTGGCGTGGCCCATGGGAGAAGGGGACGGGTCCGTAACAAGCCGAGATGACGTTGCCCAAAGGATCGGCCTGGACTAAGGCCCAACCAGCCCTCGAAAGCCCAGGAATCCCCGGCCAATAAGCGGACCCATCCGAAACAATTAAACCACTGAGGCGGCCTGACTCAGGCCTGTTAATCCAGAACACGGTCTGTTCAGGCTCCTGGGCAGGAAAGAGCGCCAACGGCGACGGAAAGATCGCGCGCGCGAATCTCTCAGCCAGCTCCCCCCCCGCTTCAAGCACACGGGCCGCCCGTCTGGCTAGCTGCGGCGAGACCATGACCCTCCTGAGCACAGCGTGGGCCGAGCAACGATATTGCCTGTGAAGCAAGCTCCCCGCCTCCTCCTGACACAGCCTACACTTGCAGCAAATGTGATACCCATGCCTGTGCACTCTTGCTTGAGGCCAGTGCACATTGCTCATAAGGCTCCTGAGCGACCTCTGATGCTGGGGCCCCCAAGAGGAGGAGGAGGATCGAAGGAGAGGCTTCACGGCATCCCAGAACAGAGGGTACCCTTGGAGCTCATCGCCTACCTGCATCAGCGCCTGCCTGTCCGACGCTCTGACGGCCGCAGCTCGGACCTGCAACCGAAAACCCACAGGCGCAAACTGAGAGAGATTCCAGACCTGCCCGAGGTCAGTTTCGACCGTTCGAAAATCACGGAAAGTCCAGCCCACACGAGCGAGACTGAGCACTGCCACATCCGCAGGCGTCGCAGCTCCTTGCCACGGGTGCCGTTTCGAATTTGCTCGAGCTGTGGCCGCGTCGGCCGTCGCATTCAAAATTGAGACCTTGGGAAAACTGCCCCAGACAGCGGCGGCCCACTGAAAGGCCGCATGGCCAGCATAGGCCACAAGGGTCGACGATTTCTCCCAAACGAAAAGAGCGCAACCGAATTCCCAGGGAGGCCCCTTTGGGATGGCGCCCTAAAGCGTGGGCCGCCGAGAGCCTCAGGCCACGCATGGCCGTCGGCGAAATCCCCAAGACACTGCTGCCCCAGAGGGCCGACGCCGTGGCCCCCATTCTCTGTACAAGAGCCACATCAGCCCCAGCCTCCCTCAGAAGTCGAAGTCGCTTCGAGCGCGAACCTGCATCGATGAACCTCGCCCGCTGCACTCCAACACGTCGTCGTGAGCCCGTCGTCGCATCCGTGTCAAGGTTACGCGCATGCTCGACCCGAGACGTACCAGGCAGACACCAAGAGCCAGCAACGTGAGCCTGAACCTCTCGCGTGCACATGTACTTCGTCTTCTTGATGTTCACAAGCGAGTGGAGCTCCTCAAAGCACGAGAAGAGCTGACTGACGGCACTCGATAGCACCTGAGCTACCTGAACTGGCCGACCACACGCCTGAAGTGCAACATCATCTACAACATTGCGGATAAATAAATTCGGCCTACCTTGCTGTGTGAGAAGGAGCGGACGGAGCAGCAATAACTTAGCCAGAGTCGTCGCTCCTGAGCATCCTGTCACCACAGCTGCATTCGCCAAGTAGGCCGACGAAACGGCACCTCCATACATCAGGGCTTTATATCCAGCATAGATCGTGCAGCACCCTCTGAGGACCTTGATGGGGAACCCATACTGGAGCCCAACAGCTCTGAGACCAAGATGCCTAATGTGCCCGTAGAAGCGGCCCAAGTCGACCAAGACGGACCCGCTCTGAAACCCAACCTCCTCGCAGAAACCTCCCAAGATATTGTGGACCCAGCCAGCTCTCTCACAAGTGTTGTGTGGCCCCGTGCCCCAATAGAAGGCCTCTGCATGCTTCTTCTCCCATGCCTGACAGCATGGCTGGCGAAGCCGCGACCACAAGCGCAGCGCCAGGCAGATGGGGCGCACGCCGCCGTCGGGCTTGTCTAAGAAGACCATGTTGGTCAAGAAGGCGAGAAGATCCTGTGGTCTGTCCTCAAACCTGTGCAGAATATCTAAAAGCCTTAGCTGGTGTTCCTCCGTGAGGCTCAGGACCCATCTTGGGTGAAAA